ACGGTGGTATTCGAACCTACGACCTTTGGAATACTAGCCCAATGCTCTTCCAACTGAGCTACGCGGTCAGGACGGTTCGAGTAAGTGATATTTCGGAACAGGATCTAGTTCCTTCGATACCAATGTATTCTATTAATATGAATTTTTTCTGTGTTGGTGTAGTGTACTCAGGTGAATATGATATTTGTGGTGTTACTCTGAGTGTATATACACACCGGGCGAGCTTGAAAAATATGCCCGGCCACGGTGGGATTCTAACCTACGACCTTTGGAATACTAGCCCAATGCTCTTCCAACTGAGCTACGCGGTCAGGACGGTTCGAGTAAGTGATATTTCGGAACAGAATCTAGTTCCTTCAATACCAATGTTTTCTAGTGATATGAATTTTTTCTGTGTTGGTGTAGTGTACTCAGGTGAATATGATATTTGTGGTGTTACTCTGAGTGAATATCCACACCGGGCGAACTTGAAAAATATGCCCGGCCACGGTGGGATTCGAACCTACGACCTTTGGAATACTAGCCCAATGCTCTTCCAACTGAGCTACGCGGTCAGGACAGTTCGAGTAAGTGATATTTCGGAACAGTATCTAGTTCCTTCAATACCAATGTGTTCTAGTAATGTGAATTTTTCTGTGTTGGTGTTGTGTACTCACATGAATAATATGTTTGCGATGTTGCTCTGAGTGCATATCCACACCGGGCGAGCTTGAAAAATATGCCCGGCCACGGTGGGATTCGAACCTAAGACCTTTGGAATACTAGCCCAATGCTCTTCCAACTGAGCTACGCGGTCAGGACGGTTCGAGTAAGTGATATTTCGGAACAGTATCTAGTTCCTTCAATACCAATGTGTTCTAGTAATATGAATTTTTTTTCTGTGTTGGTGTTGTGTACTCAGGTGAATAATATGTTTGCAATGTTACTCTGAGTGCATATCCACACCGGGCGAGCTTGAAAATATGCCCGGCCACATTGGGATTCGAACCTACGACCTTTGGAATACTAGCCCAATGCTCTTCCAACTGAGCTACGCGGTCAGGACGGTTCGAGTAAGTGATATTTCGGAACAGAATCTAGTTCCTTCGATACCAATGTATTCTAGTAATATGATTTTTCTGTGTTGGTGTTGTGTACTCAGGTGAATATGATATTTGTGATGTTACTCTGAGTGTATATCCACACCGTGGCCGGGCATATTTTTCAAGCTCGCCCGGTGTGGATATACACTCAGAGTAACATCACAAATATCATATTCACCTGAGTACACAACACCAACACAGAAAAATCATATTACTAGAATACATTGGTATCGAAGGAACTAGTTTACGTTGATATCCGTTGTACTGCTTGCGTAACTGAGTTTGCGTGCGTGATTGAGCTTCTGCACGTTCAAACTTTCCGGCCAAGAATCGTTTTTGATGAAAGCACTTCGATAACAATTCGCGTCTCCTATTCAACAAGTTTGACTTATCCGCTTTCAGAATACAAAGTTTCCTTTGAAGGCAAGGGTTACATCTCTTTCCCCGCTGGAATACGAGGCTGGTCGTTTCAGGATAGACCAAGTAATTGTGAAGTCCTCATGCATGCTGTTTTTCCTTTAAGCTCCTCACGTATTTTGAGAGCTCTGTATTGTTCCTGTATGTTACATTTATCATTTATAGACCTGGAGCGAGGGGGATTCGGAGAAATATTACCCGAAGTGATGATATTTCCCGAGGGGCTTTGCCCCGAGGGAAATATAATCACTGAGGGTAATATTTCACCGAATCCCCCGAGCGGAGGGTCTATAAATGATATATTATACCGAAAATTAAAAGCCTCCAAGTTGAGAATTAAAACCTTGACACATACCTTCGTGAATACGATGTTTTATTTTCGGATTAACGCAAGTATTCGTCGATTTTCTTTCGAATCACATATCGTTTGGAATATTAATGACAATATTTTTCAAAATTTGCTTCAAAATTTTGAAAAAGCCCCAGGTTTTACGTTTAAAATTTGATTATTCATCACTCATCAATACTATTTATATTTTGTCGGCCATGTTTTTGTCATGCGTGTTGTCTCGCGCGGTCTACACGAATAATGTTCCACCCCATGTTCCCCGGGGAACATGGGGTCACAGAATAGGAAGTTATACCAGAAGCGTAACTCGAGCAAATATTTGTCCACGTTTTTACAAGCGATTCGTCATCAATCACGCCATCCTGGCTAGTACAACCGGCACTTTGTACCTACCAAATCCTGATAGAAACTTCCGGCTGTACTAGCCAGGATGGCGTGGCCTGACGTGAGCGAGTTAAAATTTTCGTGGACGTCAAACAATAAGGGAAACGACTAGAGTTACGCTTCTGGTATAACTTCCTATTCTGTGATGGGGTGGAACATTGTCAAAAGGAACGCAGGCTCGCTAATTGATGACGTAAGGCGTGATATCGCGATTAATTTCATGCTCACGTGGCACAAACTAAGCTTCCTGATTGGACAATTTGAATTTGAGGTATAATATTATTAAATGATTTAGTGTGGTTATATAACCGCTTCTTGAAAGTGTTTCCCGTCATGCCAATGTATTCTTTAGGTTTCGAATTGCTGGTTGCAACCTCTGCTTTATAAACTATGCAGTCCAATAGGCATTTCTTTTGGAGGGACATTCCTTGCTATTGTTACAATTGCAGGAGGTGATGTTTGTTGATGATGTTGTTTGGGTTGTAGATTTCGATCTTGATAGTATTCTGCTGAAATGCTTAGAAATGCTTATTGATTGTTTCGTTGTCTTCGTTTATTGCCATTACTTGACTGTACAACGAAACATAATATGGTTTAATCCACCGTACAGCATGCAAGAACGTAAGAACAAATGTGGGCAAGATTTTCCTCAATTTAATTAGTTGACAAATACTTCCCACCTTCCAGTTGCTTACATAAGACATTTTATTATATACATGACAAAATTACTGCAATCTGATTGGTTAAGAGGAATGCAATTATTTCATTAATTGCACTCTCCAGGAGTGCAATTAATGATTTTCGTGATGACTGGGGGGAGCGGGAAATCAAAACAACAAAATCCAATATGGCGGCGAAATTTAGATAAGTATTTCTAACAAATGTGGACGAATTTAAATGAGTTTAAGAAACATTGTATGGCAAAAGGAACCTGTTAAAAATACCTGGAAAGAGTCTTAAGAAATAATCTTGGTGGGATGCAGCGAAACGTGACTATATGTAAGTTTGAAATACAATTTATAAAGATTTTGTTAGTCTAAAATATGTTGTTTGAGTTTGAATCTTGTGTTCTAGTTTAAGTTATGTGCCTTTATGAGTTTGTAATCATTTCCCAAGTTTGTTTATACCAAATTGCTTACAAAAGAATTAAAAACTCTTGACAAAATGCAGTTGAAATATAAAGAAAGCGATTTTGTCATGAATATAATAAATAAATAATCACACGGGCAAGTCGTGCAATTAATGATTAACACTACTCGTGATATTTGAAAAATGTGCCAAATTGCACTCGCCCTGGCGGCTCGTGCAATTTTGGCACATTTTTCAAATATCACTCGTAGTGTTAATCATTAATTGCACTCCTTCCCGTGTGATTACCTATACTAATCGTAACACGGTGAAAGTAACTACAGTTATACAGCTGCTGCATGGATAACTGCATGCAAGAGCATAATTTCTAAGCATTTCAACAGAATAGGCTACTATCAAGCCCGAAATCTACAACCCAAACAACAACATCATCAACAAACATCACCACATGCAATTGTAACAATAGCAACGAATGTCCTCTCCAAAAGAAATGCCTATTGGACTGCATAATTTATAAAACAGGTTGCAACCAGCAATTCGAAACCTAAAGAATACATTAGCATGACGGGAAACACTTTCAAGAAACGGTCACATAACCACACTAAATCATTTAAAAATGTAACATGCAGGAACAATACAGAGCTCTCAAAATACATGTGGAGCTTAAAGGAAAAACAGCAGGACTTCACAATTACTTGCATGGTCTATCCTGCAACGAGCTGCCGCCTCGTATTCCAGCGGTGTATGGAAAGAGACTATGTAACCTTTGCTTTCAAGAGAAACTTTGTATTGTGAAAGCGGATAAGTCAAACTTGTTGAATAGGAGACGCGAGTTGTTCTCGAAGTGTGTTCACCAAAAACGATTCTTGGCCGAAAGTTTGAACGTGCGCAAGCTCAATCACGCACGCAAACTCAGTCACGCAAGCAGTATCACAAACGGATATCAACGCAACGGATATCAACGTCATGCATCAAGCAGGAAAACTTAGTTGAATATTTTAATACATCGTCGCCTGAGAATCGTGAAAACGTGAAACTCGGAGTAATTGTGACTTCATTCATTTAAAGTAGACAATTAAGACAAAAATTATAAAGCTCTACCTATATATTGCATGGTGTTGAGCACTCTTCAATCTACTCAGTGCGTTCATACTTTTGTTTGAATCAACGATTATATATATATATTGTGAACAATTCAACTACAGACGGTACCGTTTCGGCCTTATGGGCATCATCAGTGTAGTGCTGATGAGCAGGATGAAAGTAACTGCTATTTACAGTTATCTTTGTTGCCTCACGAATGTGGGACATCAAAACCATGCCAGAGCGCTCAAACTGCAAGCAGTGAGCGTGCGCAATGCGTAAGCGGCAATGGCTCATCCTGTAGAGCGCTCAATATGACCTAAAGGTCATAGAGCGATATCTAACTACATAGAGCGGTATCTAACTATATATATATATATATATATATATATATATATATATATATATATATATATATATATATATATATATATATATATATATATATATATACCAAAATTATGCTTACTTTAGCATTTTTTCAAGTTCCCTGTCCAATCGTTTTCCTTCTGGACCTTTGTTACTTAGTGTGGGCGCCTGAAGCCCTCCATGTCGAGGTGTTTCAACACTATTTTCAAGCTGTCTATTGTTCGTACATTGATCTTCTGTAGGAATTGCAAGAAGTCTCTTTAGGTCTGCACTTGAATTGCGCATGAGACAAAGAGTTCTTAAAACCTCTTCTGGAAAGGGCTCCGTCTCCTTGCGAGTTTGCATAAAGCTGGATTCTTGAGTATTTTGGCCATGCGAAGACAATTGTGGTTCTTGGACTTGCTCTTCTCGTTGTTTCATCAGACATATATCCGCCAGGGCGTGAAGACCGTGCGCATGCGAACCAGTTCTAGCCTGTGCATCCAGCCCACTATTGTCATCCTGCAAGAAAGGACTTCTTGCGTTGATGCCGTCTGTAGAATGAAAAAAGGATTGTTCTAGAATTGGATTTAGCGAGGCTGCTGCTTTTAGTTTTGACCGGTAGAGTGTCATTTGAAATTATATGAATATTTAGACAATGAGATTCACCTTATAAGTTTGATAATCATGTTTCCAGAATCTCTTTGAATATTTCATTTAGCAAGTATGTGCTAATATACATGCACTGCCACGATTTTCCAACTTTATCCATCCAGCAACTCTTAATTGGTATACCTCAGTGAACTCAATATACGGCGCTATCCAACAGATAGTGATTTTTTCAACTGTTATAGAAATGCCCCAAAGGCTATAAAACCAGATGATCTTGATACGCGGAAAAGTACTGGCACTAGTTGTCAAACCATTTTATGATTAAAACAACTGAATATCTCCTGTAATATACTTTATTTCGATTCCATATTTTTGTCAGAGCTATAGTTCTCATAAGCAAACATAATTACAAAATTTCAACTAGTTTCATAAAGAATAACGAAAGATATAATTGACTGAATACATCAAAATGGATTTCTATTCGGACAACCCTTTCTGAGCGCTGATTGGCTAAAATACGAACACGAGATCACCTGGAAGTACGGATATGTATGCATGGACCTCACAATTAATAAAAAAAGACTTTAATTTCTATTTTACTTATGCTAAAGTTTAATCTGGTTACAAATCATAAACGGACAATTTCAGAAAGCTCAAGTTGAAAAAATCACTATCCGGTGGATATAACCCTATCGGGCTTTCACACAGATGGCCCCAGGTTATAGTCGATCATTCTGCCATATTATCCTCTATAATATTTTATATAGGGGCCATTCACAAAGGATGTCCGGCCAAATGATGGATTTTCAGAAACCCCCCTCCCCCCTTGTCCGGCTTTGTCCGAATTAGTGACCCCCCTCCCCCGGACATCTGCCATGCCTTGCAAAAACTCACGCAACCTTGTATATATCAAGAGTAAAAAACTTTTTTTACTTTTAGAACTTTTTTATAACTGTAAATGTGAACACAAAAACATATAAATTACTAATTAAAACAAAATCTAGTGTTAACCGCATAGTCAAAATACCAATTTCACAATGGGAAGGACTGCTCAAAATAGAGGGAAAAAGAAATTTGTTTTTGAATTTTTTTAAATTTCGGACATCCGGATTGCTAAAAACCCCCCCTCCCCCCCTATGTCCGAGTTTGTCCTGATTTTCCAAACCCCCCTCCCCCCCTCAGACATCTTTTGTGAATGGCCCCTTATAAAAATTAGTAGCGTGGTTATTCGAGTAAACTTAGATTTTGTGATCTTGAAGTATAATGTAACCTAAACGTGAATTGTGTGTGTGCGCTGGCTCATTTTTTCTTACCCAGCTTGGTCAACAATAATATAATGTCAACAGTTTATACATAATTTGATTAAAAATTTTCAGTATTAAATATTGTCTGCGCTACTGTCTGTTTTTTTATCAGTATGTATTAAATAACATAGATATCACTATTATCACATATATCGCTGTCAGGGGGAGGGGTGGGGGGGGGGGTACAAACTACGAACTAAAGGCCCCAACAACCTCCAGGTTTTTAATCAACCGAACTTGGCAGCTCTGCATTATATATAGTCTTGCTCTCAGACTATCAAAGTTTGCCAATTCTCCTCAGAAGAGGCTACTGTAAACCTCCGACTATAAGCCCCCTACCCCGAATATAAGCCCCCTGAATATAAGCCCACTTTATTCTTGATACTAACTTTCACCTCATTCCAAATATAAGCCCCCCCCTCGAATATAAGCCCACCTGAATATAAGCCCCCAAAATATAAGTCCCCCGAATATAAGCCCAGTAGCCCACAATGTTATTCAACATTGACATTGTCTTTTAATATAGCGGAGAACGATATTTAAAAACATTGTCATTGTCTTTATAGCCGACATGTTTAGTTTCCGGTTTATGACTGACTTGTTTATGTCTGACTTGTTTATTATTAACACAAAATATCATCCATGTAGTAACCCCCGTACATATAAGCCCCCCCCCTTGTATAAGCCCATCAAAAATCCCTTACGAAAATATAAGCATTGTTCAAATTTCCAAATTGAAATTTACCTTACAGACACCTTGAAGCATTAATTATGAGTAAATATATTTTCTTGCAATCAAACAAGAAAAAGTTCAGCTATAAATGAAGCATAAAAGGTGTATGTACCACAGAATATCACAGTACCACATAATACCAGTTTTTTTATTTCTCTTATAAAATTTGAAGGATACATGCTATATACTTTATTTTTGTGAAACATATTAGTTTTCAGGGCTGCAAATAAATATTTGACTTGACAGGATATTTGTCCGATCACTTTTAATTTTGGTTGGACATAACTTGAATTTGGTCGGACAAAAACCAACACCACTAAATTTGGTCGGACATATATACATCACAAGATATATATATATAAGTCACGAGACAAGTATGTATAGCCATTCCGGCGCAATGTTACTGTAAGTAAAATGCTAGAATACCTTGTTTTAAATTTTATTGCAAAATGCAAATTGTTGACATTGTTTTAATACCTTGTTTTAAATTTTCGTGCAAAATGCAAATTGAGTGAATTTACAATCGGATTTTGTCACAGCAAAAAATGTATAATGTGACAATTTTTTTGTGATCGGACCAATGTCCGATCAAAATTACTTTTGCTCGGTCATTTGCCAAATTTAGTCGGACATCGTCCGATGTCCTACAGTAATTTGCAGCCCTGAGTTTTAGTCTAAATGGTCATAAAAAAAACGAAAAATGGATATTTTAATACAATTCCTAAAAAATAATCGAGATAAACAAGAAATAAAATTTCTTATTTTTGGTATTTTTTTCTGCTTAATTGTGCATATAATCAGAAAGTTTGAAAATAAGTTCACAAACCAACATGATTTAGATTCGTCAACTGTTTTTCTAAGCGATATAACAGTTTTACTCTTTAGGTACCCTGGTTCCAGAGGCTCTTTGCAAGGTGAAATAAAGAAAAGGTGAGAAGGAAGAGCCTCTGGTCACATTGGTTGCAAATCCCACTTCCACACGCTTGATTAGGTTTACAATTTGAATCTCACATGCGATTGGCCATTTGTAAAAATATGTCAAACCGGTTTGGGAAAACAACATTACTGTAGGCTAATTATAGCTATAAAAGCTATAATTAGCTTGTTGTTTTCCCAAACCGGTTGCCATATTTTTACAAATGGCCAATTGCATGTGAGATTCAAATTGTAAACCTAATCAAGCGTGGAAGTGGGATTTGCAACCAATGTGACCAGAGGCTCTTCCTTCTTACCTCTTCTTTATTTCACCTCGCAAAGATTTAGCCTCGCAAAGAGCCTCTGGAACCAGGGTACTATTTAGGAATCTCACAGAGTAATCAAATTTACTATAAAAAACTCAATTTTTCAAAATTATCAGTAAACCTAATATACTGTGGTACATACCATTAGTATTCTGTAGTGATTTTAGTATTCACTCCTTCCACTAAATTAAGTTAGCAACTCTGTGCAGTGTTATCACACAACATGACAAACCAAATCCTAATACAATTTGATAAACCGTTCCTTACTTATTGCCACACTGGTATTCTGTGGTACATTAGGCATTTATCCACAGAATGTCCTATTAAAAAAATAATAGAATCTGCCAAATCTAACCCCCTGACCCCATAGGAAGGAAAAATATAATGAAAAACTATTTATCAGTTAGCAGGGTAATTTTTTGTGGAATACCCCGAGTGAAAGGTCTATAAATGGTATATTATACCGAACCTTTCAAAAATAAGTAGAAAACAAATACCATTCAATTAACTTTTAATTTCAAAACACAACTTTTGATAACTTTACATTTAAAAAAGTCGAATTTCCCGCTCAAGCGTGGTATTCGAAGTCGAATACCATGGCCCCGGGTAAAACACCCAGGGTTCAAATTGCCTAGGTCATATTATTCGCTGAAAAATACCATGGTCATGTGGTACAAATTTAGTTCTCTGATTGGACAAGCTCATTGTGAGGTATAATATACCAAAAAATATTTAACAGGCTATGTTATATGCATTTGACAAACCATATGGAACATGTAAATTTGTGTGGTATTGTGTGGTACATACAACTGTACCTAAATTTCATGCTGATCAACCAAATTCCCACCTCGTTTCCCACTTTGTATAAATTTATATTATGAATATAAAATACGTATATTTACTATTAAAACCAATGGAATTAAGCGAATTTTTTTCTATTAAATATTCTGATATAGCTTGATAAAGTCAACTTGTTCAGATCGTATAAATTTAAGCTTAGAAGATAGTAAAAAAGACGCTTGGTCTCTGGACAAAAACTTCAAACATTTCAATCATGACAAAGATGTCAATGTTTAAAATGGCATTTTTAACTTATTGAATTGAAATAACTCATAAAACAGTACAAACTACAAACAACTCAGTGAAAGTTAATTTTCGGACAAAAAAATCCCGATCTTAACTTTAAAACGCGATCTTTATATTGTAACTCTTTGTTTGAACGAACCTTTATAGTTTTTGACATTTAACAAATATAAAACATTTTCCGTGTTGATATACAGTTATATCAACACGAGTGGAATTGGGAAAACGAGAAATTGTATGGAAACACGACGCCCGAAGGGCGGAGTGTTTTCATACAATTTCGAGTTTTCCCAACTTCCACGAGTGTTGATATAACTATATATCAATACGGAAAAAATGTTTTATATATTTTTTATAATATAGCAATGTCAAAAGCCCGAAGGATAAGAAAAATTTCCGTGTTTACAAGCGGCGGAAAATTTCCCGTGTTGACATTGAGTTATATCAACACGGCTCTTAGCCAATCAGCGTTCAGAATTTACAAATGCTATATTATAAATGTATATATAAATGACTATAGGTATATGATCTAATACTTCAAATTGACTGTAAATATATTAATTTAATTATATGTTAAACTA